GAGTCTTTATGTGTGTACATTTCCCCCTTGGGGCAAGGATGAGGGAGGAGATGAGGTCAGTTTCTCTACCTTGCTCAGGAGTATTCATCCACACATAAGCAGCAGTCTTACTGATCAGCAATAGCCACACACCACCCCCACCCAAAGAGATCAGCATAGAATGTCCCAAATACTAGAAGAAAAGAGGATGTAGGGAATATGTTTTACCTACTGATCAAAATCTTTAATTTGCCAGGCACTGGTGGTTCAGCTCTGTAATCCTAGCTACTCTGGAGGCTGAGATCTGAGGATCACAGTCCAAAGCCAGCCCAGGCAAGAAAGTGTGTGAGACTCTGCTCTTCAATTAACCACCAGAAAAGCAGAAGTGGAGCTGTGGCTCAAAGTGGTAGAGCATTAGCCTTGAGCAAAAAAGCTCAGGGAAGCTGGGTGCCGGTGGCTCACGCCTGTAATCCTAGCCACTCAGGAGGCTGAGATCTGAGGATCACGGTTCAAAGCCAGCCCAGGCAGGAAACTCCGTGAGCCTCTTATCTCCAATAAACCACTGGAAAACCAGAAGTGGTGCTGTGGGTCAAGCGTTAGAGCGCTCACCTTGAGCTGAAGAGCACACAGACAGCACCCAAGCCCAAGGTTCAAGCCCCACGACCGACAAAAAAAGAAAAAAGAAAAAAAAAAGCTCAGGGACAGTGTCCAGACCTGAGTTCAAGCCTCACCACTGACTTTATATATATATATATATATATATATATACGTGTGTGTGTGTGTGTGTGTGTGTGTTTGTGTGTATTTGGTGTGCCAATCCTGGGGCTTGAACTTTGTGCCTGGGTACTATCCCTAAGATGTTTTTGCTCAAGACTAGCACTCTACTCCACTTCTGGCTGCTCAAATCTCCTAGCTAGGATTACAGGCATGAGCCAATGGGCACAGGCTTTGTAGTACTAGATGATACCAATATATTATGAAGCCTGCTTGGTGTCCTCCTATCCTGGTAGCATTGAACAATTTCTTATTTACTTAGTAATCTAGACTACTTTATTTGGTCTTGTAAGAAATGAGCACCCAAACACACACACACACACATTCTCTCTCTCTCTCTCTCCCCCATCCTTCCCTCCCTCCCTCCCTCCCTCCCTCTCTCCCCCCCCTCCCCCTCTTTCTCCAGTGCGGACTCAGCAAATCTAGCTCAATGGCCCTGCTGGATGAAAAGAGGCTGGGTGAGGGACTTAAGAAGAAGGGCAGGCTGGGTAGACTGGGGGTGCAGCTGGGTTGAGCTTGGTGGTAGAGCTCATGTGTGCATGCCTGAGCCCCAGGGTTCAGTCGGCAGCACACACACACACACACACACACAGAGGCAAACGGGCCCGCAAGCGCAGCCCACCGAGGGCCTGGGCCTGGCTGTGCCGGACGGGAGCCCGGAGGTCAGGCAGAGTCAAAGCATCACCTTCCTTGACCGACACAGACAGAAGCTGCACCTGGCCGAGAATGCCGAGCCCGAGGAGCAGCCCGCTGCGTAGGCGTCGGACCCAGGCCCAGCCGCCTCCTTCACATTCCCTTTAAACTGTGACTTTACCAACTCGGAGCTGTTCCTCAGACCCCCAGGTGCTATGGAGGTGGGGGGCGCTGGATGGAATTAAACCAAAAAGAAAGCAAGCGGCTCCATGTCCTCCTTGCCCTCTTCACGCCTCTTCTCGCCGAGAAGCCTCTGAGGGGCACGCAAGGCCTGGAGGCCCGGCTCGGGCTGGGACGTGGGGTCGGCGTCGCCCCGGGACCACACAGGGGAGCAGAGCAGAGCCGGGACTAGCGGAAGGCTGCCGCGACGCGGAGGGGCGGGGCCTGTGCCTGCGCATGCTCAGGAGCGCCACCGCCGCCTCCCCTGCGCAGGCGCCCGGCGTATCTTGGGGCCGTTGGCGTGAGCATGGACCGGGAGCTGTTACTTCGGAGGGTGTCTTTGTTACAGGTTCGAGGCGGCGGGGTGTAGGAGTGCACTGGGGTCTCGGACTTCCCTGCTAGATGAGGCCGTCACGCTCAGTCCCCTCTCCGCGTGCCAGCCTCTGGAGATGCCGGCGCGCGCCGCCTCCCAGGCTTCCCCCAGCGGCCCCCTCGCTCGTGCCTGGACAGGGTCCGCACGGAAGGACTTGAAGAGAGGAGGAGGTCCAGTCCGGTCTCCTCCCTTGAACTCCCAGAGTCCCGCGCGCGCTGTCCCCCATCTTCTCCGGTGACCGTGGCCCTTCTTGCAGGCCCTGGGATGACTCCAGGAAAATCCCCCAAATGCCCCTTTCCTAAAGTGATGAGGCCTTCTTTCCTCTCGGTTTCCACCTCAGGCCTGCATCCGGGGCTTCTTAGTCCGGCAGCAGTTCCAGAACCTGCGAGCTGAATATGAGGCGGTTGTGCAAGAGATCGAGGGCGACCTGGGCACACTTCAGTGGACTGCGGGCTGGATCCCCAGGCCCCGCTTTCTCCCAGAGGTAGTGCACGTCCCACGAGGGCAAGTGAGGGGAAGGAGCATGTGGTGGGGGATGCAAGGGAGTGTTGGAGGCCACTCTTGCTGACGATAGGCTTCTCACTGCAAAAGGCAGCAGACTCGCCTCACACCCGAGTCCTGAATTCTGCCCACTTCTTTGCTTGATCATGCCCCCATTATGCACAGAGACTTAGCTCTTGGACTCTCAGACCTCTCTGATTTCTTAAAAGGCAAAATCTCATCGCTCCTGGAAAGCAAAAGAGAGGGTGCAAAATCCAGAGCAGGAACTATGGAAACACCTCCCATGTAAAGAATCTGAGAAAAGGGCCATGTGGGAGGAGATGATGCTGAAGAAGCCAAGAGAGAATTCATCAGATCCAGGAACTCTTTCCTGCAGAGATGACAGTCTCTGGCTTCTGGCTGAGCAGAGCAAGAAAGCCAGAAAACCTGGCCAAGAGAAAACCAGAGATACCTCCATCTCCAGGATGGAGAACCCAGGTACCACTCTGCCTAGCTCAGGGAAACCCCTGATCCTCTCTGAGAAAGAAAGGCCTTAGCTTCCCATCTGAAAAATGAAAGGAATCTGCTAAATAAGCTTTCTCCCTCCTTCCTTCCTCTGTTACTCCCTCCTTACTCCTGATTGGGGAAAAGACATTGGGTAGGGAGCAAAGGGTTGCTAGAATCCATGGATAAACCTATTCCTAGTGTCTACACCTCGAATAATTCATGAATTTTTTTCCCCCTTCTTCAAAGAAACCACAGGTCCAGGACTGTCCCATAGCCAATATGAGCTCCAGGAACTCCAGTACCACCAAAGCCACTTGGCCATGGAACTGTTGTGGCTACAACAGGCCATCAACAGCCGAAAGGAGGTACACATTAACTTGGAACGCTTTTCTGAATGGGCCAAGGGTGGGGTTTGGAAGAGGCCTCTTGCTATGCCCAAACAAGCTGGTATGATGCAGTATCTGTTTTCTCCCAACAGTACCTAATTCTTAAACAAACACTGAGATCCCCAGAAACAGACCAGAACAGAGCCAAGCCCAACCTGAGTCCACACCAGGGACAACGAGCCTGTGAGGAGGTCTGGTCACAATCAAGCTCCCTGCTAGAGGAACCATCCTACAGAAACAGGGCCATGGGAAAGCTGGACTATGACTCCTGCAAGAGGGATAAATCACAGTCCCATAAATCCTCAGAAAGTCAGATCACTGAAAGCAAAACCACTGCTGGGGCTAATGGTGACAGCTGTAGGAGGGCTAGACCACAGTTTGTATACCACCAGCCAGCCAGGATAGAGGGAAAAGGTTTGCCCAATGGCCAGACCATGGTGGATAGGCCTTTGAAGAACTCTGCCTGCAGCAGATGAAGCTCCTGGAGGATCAGACCCTCAGGGGCCTCAAATCTAGGAGCCCCTGTTCCAAAAAGGCCAGGACACAGCTGCCTGTAGTCTGTCAGGATCCAGATAATCAAGGACAGGTCTCCCAGAAGGTCAGACCACAAAGTGAAATACTGCCAAAGAGCCAGACTACAGAGGACAAGCCTCTCAAACAACCCAGATGAATCTGGATGGGACCTTGACAGGGCTGGAACATGGTAGCCTGGATCTCAGGATAAAACTGTCCAAGGGCCAGACCCCCAGTGATAGATGGTCCAGAGATGGAACCTCTATTGTACTAGTTATGAAGGATGAGATAACTAGAGGGCTGCACTATGAAGATTAAGGCCACCTGAGAACCTGTCTTCCAACTGTCCAGAACCAGTCTAGACAGGAAAGGATCCATAGGAAGGCAGGTCATTGAAAGCAGGAGCACCAGGCTAGACAGGGAGACCCACGGGAGCAACAGGTTCTATTTGTGAAAGTGTGATGAGGAAAATGGGCCCTCATCCTACCTTCCTGGTACCAGCTTTACCTTCAGCTCCTATCCTCAACCATTATGGCTAACAGGTTCAAGAGAAGATGCAGAAGAGAGCTTGCTGGTATGCAAGGAAGATGAAGGACCCCCTTTCATCCTCCGCATGTTGTTCAATCCAAATTTCAGGTGAAATTCCCTGGAGAAAAGAGTGGGAGGCTTGGAGGATAATAAAGTTTTTTCTTGACTCAGCCTGGTTGCTTTCATCTCCAGCCCCTGGCCAGGACAGTTCATGGATTTCCTGTTCAATAATCACTAGAACAAGGACATTATCCCCAAGGCCAGCTTGGAGCCATGGCCCAAGACCAAAGCTAGCTATGCTCCTTGGAGAACAGCCCTCAAGCTGATTCCCCCTTGCTTCCCTTGAGCTCAAAAGAAGATTAGAATGTCTGTGCTTAAGTGGGATCTCTGCCACTCCCTTTCATTGAACTCGGGGTCTGCCTTGTCAGTGATCATTACCTATCCTGCTCTTGTAAGGTCTCATAAAGCCCTGACCTTTCAGTCAGAAAGGCAGAGAAAGTTGCATGGAAAGAGGTTCTCCCTCCCTTTCTTACTGACTTGACCTCTAATTGGCATGACTCCCAACTTTGCCTTTGTTACCTAGCAACAGCTCCGCGTCTGGCTGAGGGTACACTATGGCGAGTAGCAGGCCAACGGCCAAAAGAGTAGTTGTGTACAGAAATGGGGACCCTTTCACCCCAGGCCACCAGCTGGTGGTGACTCAACGCCGCTACCCCACCATGGAGGCCTTCCTATATGATGTAACATCAGCCGTACAAGCTCCACTGGCTGTACGTGCCCTCTACACGCCTTGTCATGGCCACCCTGTCACCGACCTGGCAGACCTACAGAATGGAGGACAATATGTGGCTGCTGGCTTTGAGCGATTCCACAAGCTCCCGTGAGTGGGCTGGGGCTGTTTCAAAAGCCTAGGGGGGGAGGGAGTGGCAGCAGCAATGTGCTTCTCCAGTATTCACTGTGTGGGTACCAGGCTTTCACTGAACCTGGGGAGAGGCAGCAGTAGTAAAAATCTGCAAGGTGTTGAGTTGAAATTCAGGTTAAATTGTTGGTTACTAAGGCTTATGCTGTGATTAGGTAGGACTCCACTATAGTCAGGACCACCTTGTGGGAAGGAGACTCTATAGGTTGAAACTTTTCCTGAAAGTTCTTTTTTTTTGGGGGGGGGAGGGTCCAGTTGTGGGGCCTGAACTCTGGGCCTGGGTGCTGTCCCTCAGCTCTTCAGCTCAAGGCTAGCGCTCTACCACTTGAGCCACAGTGCCACTTCCGTTCTTCTAGTGGTTTTATTGGAGATAACAGTCTCATGGACTTTCCTGCCCAGGCTGGCTTTGAACCGTGATCCTCAGATCTCAGCCTCCTGAGTAGCCAGGATTACAGGCGTGAGCCACCAGCGCCCAGCTGTTTTCTTATTCTTTAACCTTACAGTTTATGTCTGAGACCTGTCTAGATTTCCAACCTGCATGGCACTTGGGGCAGGTTCAAGTGCCTACATGTGTTCTGGACTGACCCATGAGAGGGAGACCTAGGGAGCTGGGCCTTAAATCCACTCTCCAGAAGCTACTGGACTATGGAAGCCTCAAGATGACCTAGACCCAATTTGTCCTTTCAGCTATTTACCCCCAGGAGGGAAGAAGCCAGGTGGAAAGACCGGCAGACCACAAGTGAGTCCTAGGAGAGGCTGGCCCCGTCTCTGTCCTCCCATGCTTCTTGGGATTGCTCCAGTTTGGTCTGGGAGGTCAGGGGCTCTGGAAGAAACAGGAGCTTCTGGTTCCGTAGGGCCCTCTATACCTGTGTATCTGGAGCCTGCTGCTGTTCTTCCTGGGACTAGAAGATATTAGCCCAACCCCTGCCCCAATATTTTACCTTGCCTCCAGGATGTGGCCCTCCCAAAGGAAAGAGGAATCTGAGAAACACTCATGGGATGGGGGTGGGAGGTTTGAAGATGCCTGGAAATGCTTTAGTGGAAGGTATGACTAGTGTGCTCCCTCCTTGCCCCTTTTCCTGCCCAGCTGGTTCCAACCTACTCACCCCAGGATCCTTAGGCTGACCCCTCCATAATGAAAGTCTTTCTCTCTCCTGATCTGGGGGCCTTACTTGGGTTTCAGGACCCTCCCAGGACTTGCTACCAGTGTGATGGGGCCCTTGGACAATGGCTTCCTGCAGGTGCCCCCTGCTATATCCAGTGAGTGCCAGTGACAGGGAACAAGGGGCAGAGCCTTCTGTTTCAGTGACATTATGAACATTGGGGTGGCTTTTTCCCCCAGTTACTGGTGGGAGATAAAGAATCATTGGTGGGTGAAATGGGTTGGCACAGTGATTCTCACAGAGTTCTGTGGCTCATGTTACCTTCTCATATGTAGGAAGTCTTGGAGACCCTTCTCTTACCCGTTGCCCTTTATCTTAGTGTGTTCAGGAATGGGGACCTGCTAAGTCCCCCATTTAGTCTGAAGTTGTCTCAGGCTGCCATCCAGGAATGGGCAACTGTGTTGAAGCTCCTGACTGAGAAAGTCAAGTTGCAGACTGGGGCTGTACATAAGTAAGTATGGGAAGGGGCAGAGGCCCAAAGTCCCCAGAGTCTCCCCTACTGGTTTCAGGGAGCATGAAAAGGCCAAGGGAAAGTATGCTCTTCCAACATAGGGAAAGGTCCCTTTGGCCCACCCCACAGAGCCAGGGCAGAATCTAGGTACCAGGTTCCCATAGCCCAGAGGGCACCCTGGAGTAGCTGTGACCCGCAATGCCCCTCCACCACCTGTTGAGTCTGAAGCAGACTCTAGCCCACTGGCCCTCACCTTTCCCCTAGACTCTACACTTTGGAGGGGGTCCCGCTGTCTGCAGGGATGGCTCTTGTGAATGGCCATTACTATGTAGCTGTGGGAGAGGATGAATTCAAGGCCCTGCCTTATCTGGAGCTGTTGGTGCCCAGCCCCTCCCTGCCCAGGGGCTGCTGGTATGTACTTGGGCGGCTCAGGGCACTGGGTGTGGCTGAGGCTGCCCTCAGAGCTGTGCGCTCTCATTCTTTGTCTTCCTTTGCCCAACACAAGCCTTTCCTTTCATTGCAGGTATCCTCTGAAGCCAAAGTATGGGCCCCACAGGCAGGAGGTAGGTGATCCAGGGTCCCACTAAGGTGGGAAGGAAGGGGAGTAACTGACTGAGAACTCTGGCCTAATCTCACTGCACCCTTTCAATTATCTCATGAAACGAGATTATCCCCATTGTCAGTAGGTAGAAACGGGAGCTCAGCAAGTTCAGGGTGACAAGTTACTGAGTGGCACAGGCCAGAACAGCACTGTGACTTTCAGGATGGGTTGCAGAATCTAACACCTTGCAGCCGGGTGAGGGGGGGGGACAGGGGGGAGGCTCACGCCTGTGATCCTAGCCCAGGGGAGGAAAGTCTGTGAGACTCTTATCTCCAATTAACCACTCAGAAAACTGGAAGTGGCTCAGGTGGTAGAGTGCTAGCTTTGAGCTGAAGAGCTCAGGGACAGTGCCCAGGCTCAGAGTTCAAGCCCCATGACCACCACCACACACAACAAAAAGAATCTAACACCTTTCTATACTGGATGCTGGGAGAGAATTGGCATACCTGGCTTAGGGAGGACCCAAGGAGACAGCAGCTCCCCATCCTCCTCCAGGCCTGGACACTCCCAGGAGATGAGCCAGTGAGCATGAGCACAGGGGTGGGGCACAGTTTGGCTTTACCCAGGACATTTTCCAGTGCCAGGTGCCAGCTGTTGTCCCAGGATAGGCAGTCTGATGGGAGGAGGGGACAGAGAGGGAGGATATGGGCTGAGAAGATGACAACACTGCTTTTCCCAAGCTCCCTCAGGCACTGGGACACTGGAGCCTGGACCAGGAATAGGAAAAGTGAGAACAGCCCACAACCAGGGTCCCTTCTATACCCTCAGGGTAACAGGGCACCTGACACCCTGCACTCTCCAGAGGAAGCAGCAGGACAAACTGAGCCCTCTGCTTTCTATGCCAGGCCCCAGCAGGCTATTCAGTCAAGAAACATTCTTCCTACTCCCTCGTTTCCATCAGGTGAGGTAATCCAGGACTGGGACCAAACCCAGGGCCTTGTGCATGCACCTTAGTGACAAGATGATCCCTGCTGCCACGGGAGGCATTGGCAGGGGCAATCACTTATCCCCCACCTGCACATCTAGTCCCTTGCTTCTCCAAAAGGATTTCCCATGTGAAAGAAGCACATGGAAGGGGCAACGGTTCACTCAAAGCCATGAGGCTGGGGCTGGCTTAGTGGCAGAGCGCTTGCCTTGCATGCATGAGGCCCTGGGTTCAATTCCTCAGCACCACGTAAACAAAAAGAAAAAAGCCAGAAGTGGTGCTGTGGCTCAAGTGGTAGAGTGCTAGCCTTGAGCTGAAGAACTGAGGGACAGCGCCCAGGCCCAGAGTTCAGGACCCCCGACCGGACACCCCCCCCCCAAAAAAAAAACGCCATGAGGCTTCAGGGGTAGATTTACAAAGGTTTGGGATGGGAGCCAAATGCCTGCTTCTCAACTTCTCTGTCCCCCTCTAAGGTAGGGAGGGATGTAGAACAAGGTCAGAGAAGAGAAAGTGGCTGGTAGAGAAGACAAAAGGAGGCTGAGGCCCCTGGCACTGATGGTTATCAGCTAATGTTACTTCCCTCACTAGGAGTGAAGGGAGTGTACAGGGCTCCTCACCCAAGGAAAGAGACAGCAGGGGCCCAGGAAGTTGTAGATGATAAAGACACATGGACCGAGGAGCCTTTAGATCAGGTAGGCCAATGGATGGAATGGAGATGGGAGGAGTTCTGAGCTAGAGACTGGCAGTGGTGGGCCATAGGAACAGTCCTCTCACTGTGACTGTAAGCAGATCTCTAACATCTCAGAGCTTGACCTCTCCTTAAATCTTTAGTGTTCTCTTTTCCTGGGGTTGAGGATCTCCTGGCTGGGGCTGTAGGCAGGCATGCTTATGGCTCTCCACCTCCTCCAGAAGGCAGCACAGTAGAAGAAGCCCTGTCCTTGGAACACCAGTCTTAGGCTGGGGCTACACCTCCAGCCTCAGTCCATACTGTGCCACCTGGAGAGCCAAAAAGCTCCACACAGAAACTGGGGACACGGACTTGTCATCTTTTGTCTCTGGCCTCTACCAGCCTGTTATAGGAAGCCATGTGTCTCCAGGACTCACAGGAGAGTCCTGGCCTCCTCAAATCTTCCCCATCCTCTTGTCCTTAAGCCCATATCCCAGTAGTCTTCCTTTCTCTCTGGTCACAGCACCCCTTGCTGGGGAGGCTAGTTCCTTATGTCAGATTCTTGTCCAGAGAAAGGAATCTTTACCTGAATTTGGAAGAGAGATCACAATAAAAGAACACTTATTAAGCTCTGTGTGTTTAATGATTTATTGAGGCTGCAAGTGGCCAGTTGTGTTGGGTGTTGCAGGTAGCTCTTACCAGGCTCATAGTTGTCTGTTTGAGAGGGGCTGGCAGTAAAGCAATTTCACCCTCCTCATAGATGGGTAGGGAGCTTAACAGCTCATCTTTCCTACACCCTTTCCCCCTCAGTTTCATCAACATCAGCAAGGCACTCTGACTGAACCCTAGAGACCTCCTAGTCACACTTCTGGTTCAGAGACTGCAGCTTGCCCTGCTGCCAGGGCTCTGCAGACCATAACAGTCCAGAACAGGTCAAATTAATAGTGGCTGCATAACAGTGGCCTGAGATAACACAGGAAGAAAGCAGCTGGGCAGAATGGCTGCTGAGGGTAAGGATAAAGTCTCCTGTGCTGAATCACAGCAGCTGAACACTGCTCAAAGGTTAAAAAACGTATTGTGCTCCACGAGGTAGATGTTCCCATACGAGATGAGGAAGCTGAAGCTCAGGGAGGGCAAGTGCTAGGCCCATCAGCTCACTGCCTGCACCCATGGCCCCGGAGCTTCCTGGTGATGGCAGAGCTTGAGGTGGGAATTAACCCACTAAAAGGTAGATGGTGGCCCCTGGGTCTTGTTCACTGAGCTTGTGATGCAAAGTGTAATTCCTGTTACAGTGAGCACCATGCCAGCAACCGCTCCTGGGATAAAGAGCAGACATTAAGGGGCTCAGACTGGAGGTATAGCTCAAGTAGTACAACACTCACCTAGAAAATGCAAGCTCCTGAGTTAAAACCCCAGTGCCACCAAAAAGGAAAAAGAAATCAAGGGGCTCTGAGCTCATTCACGCCAGTAGGAAGGAACTGGCACAGGGCTGATGGGCTCAGATGGGGTCTGGTCATAATTCCCACCCACAGACTGCCCAGGAAGGAAACTAATGGCCACCAGGAGGCAGGGAGAGCTGCAGAGGAAAGGCAGGATGGAAGAAGGGCCCCTCCTCTCCCACTCATGAAGGACGGACTCTAGGAAACAGCTGTATCCCACACTCACAGCAGCCTGACTTACGTTTTCCACCAATATCTTCTCCAAGGACCTTCCCAACAATCAGCGTGAAGACAATGGCTAGAGAGTTACAGATGGGCACTGCTAGGGTCAGATCTGGGTAGGCAGAAGAAGAAGAATCCCTGAGATGAAAAAATGTCTTTCTAGGTACAAACATTTTCTTTTTTTTTTTTCTTTGTCATGGGGCTTGAACTCAGGACCTGGGTGCTGTTCCTGAGCTTTTTCACTCAAGGTAGCATTCTACCTCTTTAAGTCAATAGCACCACTTCCAGTTTTCTGGTGGTTAACTGAAGATAAAGAGTCTCATGCCAGGCGCCTGTGGCTCACGCCTGTAATCCTAGCTACTCAGGAGGCTGAGATCTGAGGATTATGGCTCAAAGCCAGCCTGGGCAGCAAAGTCCATGAGACTCTTATCGCCAATAAACTACCAGAAGACCAGAAGTGGCACTGTGGCTCAAGTGGTATAGTGCTCGCCTTGAGCTGAAGAGCTGAGGGACAGTGTCCAGGCCCAGAGTTCAAACCCTACAACTCACAAAAAAAAAAAAAAAGTCTCAGAGGGCTGAGAATGGGGCATGCCCTGGGTTTGATTCCTCAGTACTACATAAACAGAAAAAGCCAGAAGTGGCACTGTGGCTCAAGTGGTAGAGCACTAACCTTGAGAACAGAGAGGCTCAGGGATAGAGCTCAGGCCCTGAGTTCAAGCCCCAGGACTGGAAAAAATAAAATAAAAAAGGTATCATGGAACAGTTATGGTGACATACTCCTGCAATTAATTCTAATACTCAAGAGGCAGAAGTGGGAGGAAGATCTGAAGATTGAAGTTTGAAGCCAGCCCAGGCAGGAAAGGCTATGGTTGTAAGGCTTGAACTCTGGGCTTGGGTGCTATCCCTGTGCACTTCAGCTCAAGACAAGCATTCTACTGCCTAAGCCACAGTGCCACTTCTGGTTTTCTGGTGGTTAATTGGAGATAAGAGTCTCACAGACTAACCTGCCTAGGCTTGCTTTGAACTGCCTCAGATCTTAGCCTCCTGAGTAACTAGGATTACAGGCATGAGCCCTGCACCTGGCTCTGTAAGACTCTTATTTCCAATTAATTACTAGAAAACCAGAAGTGGAGCTGTAGCTCAAAGTGGTAGAGTGCTAGCATTGAGCACAAAAGTTCAGAGACAGCACCCAGGCCTTGAGCTCAAGCCCCACAACTGGAAAAAAAAAAAAAAAAAAAAAAAGGAAAACATAGATAAGAAAAATAACCTAAAGCAAAATGGCTAAGAGGCCCAATTCAAGTATAAAGTGCTTTCCTAGCAAGCATAAGGCCCTGAGTTCAAACCACAATTCTATGTGTTATAGTGTAGTGCAATTGATAAAGTGTTTTTAGTCCTTTCCTAGCATATACAAGGATATGGGTTAAATCCCCAGTAAAACACACACACACACACACACACACACACACACACACACACACACACACACACACACGCACGCACACACACCTAAGCCTGGTAGTAAATATCTGTAATCTCAGCACCTGGGAGACAAGAGACTCTAAAGTTTAATATCACTCAGTCACAATAAAATAAATAAATAAGGCCAGATGCTGGTGGCTTATGCCTGTAATCCTAGCTACTCAGGTGGCTGAGATGTAAGATCAGCTAGCCTAGGGAGGAAAAGTCCATGAAACACGTATCACCAAAAAACTGGGAATTGGAGATGTGATTCAAGTGGTAGAGCACTAGCCTTCAATGACAAAGCTATGGGACTGTGCCCAGGCTCTGAGTTCAAACCCCAGTACTGGCATCAAATAATAAATAATTGAAAAAATAAGCCAGGCGCTGGTGGCTCACGCCTGTAATCCTAGCTACTCAGGAGGCTGAGATCTGAGGATCGGGGTTCAAAGCCAGCCCGGGCAGGAGAGACCATGAGACTCTTATCTCCAATAAACCACCAGAAAACCGGAAGTGGCGCTGTAGCTCAAGTGGTAGAGCGCTCGCCTTGAGCTGAAGAGCTGAGGGACAGCGCCCAGGCCCCACGACCGACAAAAAAAAAAAAAAAATTGAAAAAATAAAAGAAAGAAAGAGAAAGAAAAGAGAAACTACTGCTTTTGTGGCTACTCACTAAAATACATGCTTAAAAATAGTGGCTACGGTTTTATCAGGAAAGATGAATATTGCTGGGTATGGTGCTACATGTCTATAATCCCAGTATTTGAGAGGCTCAGACAGGAGGAGTCTAAGTTCTAAGCCAACTTGAGGTACACAGTGAGAACTTGTCTCCAGCAAATAAACCAAAGCCAGTACTTGAGGCAGCAAGTGTATCAAGTGCTGCTGCACAAGACCAACTCCAGTGCCTGGCCATATGCTTGTCACCAACCCACTCTGTCCTTGCAACTCAAAAAGCGTACAAATAGGAAACCCAAAGCAGATACTCTCCCTGACTGAAGGCAACAAAGTGTTTCCGGTTCACTAGACAGAAAAGCTCTACACCAGAGACCCACCTGTTGATGCCAAGGTGAGGTAGTAGAGGAGGGAGCCACACTGGTTGAGGAGAAAGGGCATCAGGTACTGGAAACAGGAGAGATGTGAAGTCAGTGTGACTGAGCAGTATGGCCTTCTTTGAACTTCTAGCATCTGCCCTTCCTTGGAAGAAGGGGTAGTTCTAAGAGCCCACTAAGTCCTCCGAGGAATGTCCTTCTGGAGCAGAAACAGATCCAATCTACCTGTTTCCCCTAAATACCTTCCCTCAGCTCTGCTGGTTTCTTTTTTTTGTGGGGGGGTAGTCATGGGGCCAGTTGTCGGGCTTGAACTCTGAGCCTGGGCACTATCCCTCAGCTCTTCAGCTCAAGGTTTGCACTCTAGTTCTTGAGCCACTTCTGGCTTTTACTGTTTATGTAGTGCTGAGGAATAGAACCCAGGGCCTCATGCATGCAAAGCAAGCGCTCTACCACTGAGCCACCTTCTCAGCCCCGTCCACTCTTATATCTCTTCTTGCCCTTAACCTTAAGAAGCTGTGTCCTGACCAGCCTGTCCCACCAGCATGCCCAGGCCAACTTGGGACCAGAGGCAGTACTCCATAGCCCTTCTCACCTTCTCCCAGGGCCAGCTGGGTCCAAGCCCTCCCTCTGGAAAGGTTTGCGATGGTTTCCTTATATAATGGGCAGGGTCACAATAGTAACATACTCACTGAAGCCATAGAGTGGGCACATAGGATGAAGTAAGCCCATCGCTAAGAGCTTTATGTGTCTCACCTCTAAAATCTTTCAACTGCCCTGGAAGATGGTTATCATTATAATTCCCACTTTTGCTGATGATGAAACTGAGGCTCAAAGAGGACAAGACTCCTGGAATTGGAGGCCCTGGCCTTCACCCGTTACCTCAAACTGCTTAGCCACTA